ATTATATATGTATTTAGGTTATTGCTATTCAGAAATAATCTCTTACACTTATTTTTCTTAAAACATAGAACAGTAAATAAAGAAGTAAAGCAAACAATAATCTCTTTCCAGTTACGACCTTTGTACGGAAACACACTCTTATATACACTTATTATATATGACATGAATAACCAATCAGTAGCTCAGAATGTCCTCCTAGTGGCTTTCTCCACCATTTTAATATGGTTGATGCCATTTCTTCATTTCGAACCACAATTTCAGGGAGGTAGGTTGTGTCTTTAGTCTGCTGAAAATTTCATATTTTTTTAGACTTAAATACAGCTTAGTAGAATTCTATGGTATTGATATAGTAATTTATGATTTTATGGTTATTTAGCTGTATATATAATACTAAATTAAATTATTTGGAAAATATCTTCAGGCTTAGCAACCTACGTCAAGCAGCAACTGAAAAAATGGAAAGAGGTGGGCGGGGTTCCACTCTGTTTGATTTATTATATGAGCAATATCTGTTTATCTGTTGTTTTTTTATATTTACTTTTAAATTAAGAAATTGAGTAACATATAGAATTTAGAGATGTACAAATAAAGGCTAAATTAATAGTAATCTACAAGATCATAACCATTCCCACATTATTTAAAATTGTATTTTATGCCTTAACCCTTTCCAGATAGGTCACGGGTGAAAGGCCATGTTATCTCGTTTGTTGACTCGCATTCAAAATTTTATTGAACTACTATTTCATGAATTTATGTCAGTAAATTTGGTGTCAAACTGTAGATTATAATCCAAATTTTAGTATCATTCAACAGTAGGGTCAATGTCAAATTAATACAATAATTAATACTGACTAACAAGTTAAAAGCAAATTTTATTAAATCTTAAGTATAAACAAATGTATTACTGGAAAAGAAAAGTTTTTACTGTTTATTTTTAATCATAGCCAGGATTTTGAAATGTCATACCATCTAAAACAGAATTCAATATTTATTAAACTTATCATTACTTTTTAGAGTTTTAATATTCAATCTTTTTTTTCTACAGAACACCAAAGGAAATTTATTCTACAAGTTATTTCTTTCAGGAAAAATCATTAGTTAACTCACGTATTAAGTTTAATTGTAAATTCCCTCTCTTCTTCTAATATGCTTTCTTGCCTTTCCAAAAGAACATCACAGATCCCGAGAACTGGAAGACCAAAAGAGAATTAAATGATTGCTTGGCTAACTACATCTAAAAGAAAACTTCATACAGAGCCTTAAAGCAACTAAAGTATTTCACTCCATACAACTTAGCAAATATCGATATCATCACAAATTAACATGCAGAACTAAACACAAAATGTAATTCGGGTTATTATTATTATGGTATTTCAAAGAGCTTGAATTACATTACTTGCACATTTCTGTGTAAAGCTTATTACACAGTTGTCATAAAAAATCAATTAAGTATCTCAGTTGCTTGAAAATCAGAAAAGAGAACATTTGTTCAATCCTTGTGTTGCTTGTTTATAAATCAAGTACACAGCATATGAAATATGATTTCATTTGAAACATGATTTTGATTTCCCTGAAAAGATAATCATCTTTCAATGTTTATTTACGTCTGTTTCTCTTACTTTCTACTTGTTCACACCATTGACACAAAATTTTCATTTCATTAGGCTATAACAATTAAGAGTTCAGCTATACTGTTTTCATTAATTACACAGGCCTGCAATGGTTTTATTGTCTTGAAATTTTTACATGCTCTACAGTAATTCCTGTACACTGAATCCAAATAAGATATCCATTTATCTTCATCACATAGAGTTTTCACAAAACGTCATAATGTAATATATATAAGAGAAACACCACAACACGTAGTTTTCAGACTAAAAGATATAAATTTCACAAAAAAAAACAAGATGAATAAGGGTGTATATTCATTTGACATTAATGTTCTTCCCTTTTCTTCAGATTGTTTGTATTTCATTTATTAACAAACACAATAATAAAAAATGTTCACTGTGGTAAATGAACTAATAATTTGATCTAAGCAAGAGTTTTTTTTTCCCAATTTGTAAAAAATCCTTACATGATAGAAAAATTAATATTATTTTCAAAATATGCATAGTTGAATTATGGAAAATCCATTATGAAAACCAAATCAACTTTTATTAAATATAAATTTGCAGGCCTGTGTTATTCTTATTTAGAATAAATTTGTGATGTCATTTTGTATTGTTACAATTTATGGTGGAAGAATATATTTAAAATGTAATAAAAAAATTTGCATATATTTTCAATTGTAATAGATATGTTGACTGGTTGTATTTTCAATTGTAATAGATATGCTGACTGGTTGTATTTTCAATTGTAATAGATATGTTGACTGGCTGATGCTCAATTCTGGTTTCAGTCAGTGAATGAACTGTAACTTCAATTCTTAGCTTTGTCTTCATATGAACAGTTCAAAATGATAAAACCATTTGAAGAATGAACACAATCACACTTTTGACTGATATAGTGTCAAATGCTGGCAGGACATATTTATTATATCTATTTTTAAATACACACGTCTAGTAAATGGATCATGGACCCATATAGGACTGTTTACAACAACTACATGTGAAAATATACACAAGGAAAGAGCACTTTAATTGAAGAATCATGAATTCAAAAGCAATAAAATTACTTGAGACAAAGTTCTGTTTGGAAACAGAACTGAAAAAAAACAAAAACTTGCACATCACAGCCAGGAGAGTAATTTCTAATTTTCTTTTTAAATTAAAAATATCTTGTCCACAATGTAGTAAAACCATGGTTATCAGTAGTTCTTAATACTGGGGTGTAAGATTTTATGAGGTAGGTTTAAATCACTATGTTCACCAAAGAAAATGGAAATAAACTTTTCTGTAAAAATTTCTTAATATTTACTAAGAGTGGTTATCTTGAAAATAATTCACTATATCATAATTTTTATGAACTAAAATACTGATCACACTTCTTTTAAAAATAAACAAGAGAAAAATTTCAACACTGAAATATAAACCAGAAAATGTTGGCTTATAGTAGCACCATGCTTCAAATGAATTACTCAAATAAATAATTTTGAAATCAAGAAATGCTATGGTATTCAGCACACTGACAATGTATATGGTTAAAAGTATCCATAATATGTAGCTTCCAGAAATACTATACATAGAATAATTTCTAACATGGACAGTAAAGAAAATATAAATAACACAAGCATACAAATAGAACAAAGTTTATACAATAACTATGTCCTCATAACAATTTTGTATTCATTATAGTTTCCTTACTATAACTTTAACACAGTATGTGTATCTTCACAAACTTTGGCAGACTTTTAGTAAACATTACAAGTCTTTTGAACAGTAAAAATTAGATTTTTTAATGAAGTATTTTTACAAAAGATTTGTCTATGAATATATATAGTATTTCCACATTAAGTTTTAAAATACTTCTCTTTGTCATTAAACTTTCAAATTTCATTTACGTAATCTCTAAAACCTCCTAAGGAATTTCAAACGTTTTTTTTTCAGTAAAACTTTATATTTTATCTGTTATTTTGTCTACCCAAACTCTATAGAAGGCTGGTCAATTTGACCAACCTCATAACCACCAAAAAAAATGTAAACAAATCTAAATTAGCCTTTTTTCTTTCTAGAATGACTTCAAATTGTACTATGAAACCACATTTCTTTATCTTAAATAAATTTCTGAAAGAGAGGATATGAAAGGTAGGCATGGCAAAAGGGGTCTGATTGTATATTTTGTGGTCTCGTAACTAATTAAGATTTCAAGGATATACAAATTATTCTTTTCCTAAGCAATGATGATATTATAATGAGTAACTTACATTAAATTTCATACTTATTGAAGGGGTTGTAAATAAATTAGAGAAGGAGGGATGCCTAGAGAGAAAGTGTCACAATTCTCCCATTAAGGGAATTTTTTTTTAATATTGCCTCAGAAAAGTAAGAACTAAAAGCTATACACTAGTAAAACATGTATTATTAGCTACTTTTTTATGCTATACTTATTGGTATACCATGAAAAGAAAGTAGTTTAATTAAATTTTGAATGTAACTCACTAAAACTTTGCGACATCCCCAGAAAAAGATGCCTATGAAGAGAGAGTTAACTAATTGGCCTCTGGTTCATTCTAAAATCCTCAATCAGCTGCTGGGGTAGAAAACAGGATAACACCATGTCCACACAGGGCAAATACAAATATCAGAAAGTGTTGTTTTATGAGTATATAGGCAGAACATAAGTAGCACAGGTTTGGCTTTAATGAACTGTTCCTGTCTGTTTCTAAAGTAGGATGACATTCAGCTTCTATACTGAGGATAGTTCAAGTTGAAGTCAAAAGTTGTTAACAGTCTAGTCTCTCTTACTTGGTTAGGATGCTTCTGTGATATCCTTCCTGTGCACTTTTTTTCCATGTGAGTAGGCCCGACTCTTTTACTTTTGTATAATATGAATTTTTACAGTGTTACATTCAAAATTTAATTAAACAACTTTACTCTCAGTGTATGCCAATAATCATGACATGAAAACCTAGTTTACAAATCTAATTTTTATATTATCTATGCTTTAACTTCTTAGTTTCAAAAGGTAATATTTACAAAATTTTCACCTTCATTTTTCTATGTGTAGAACAGAGAGTTAAAGATAAAACTTTACAAATATCAGAAATGGATGAACACACCTCAGTTTCAAGTCATACCAAGGTCTTTGTTTAGTATTCCCCAACATTTAGGCTACCTACATCACTGATTATTCTTATTTTATGTATTTAATGAAGATAAACCCTAACTCAAACTTAATTGTACAAGACTTTGCCCAATCTATTGGAATTATGTATGGCCTCACTCCAAGAGGGCATAAAACAGAAACAGGATCAAGCAAGTACAAGTCTTATGCAACAATCAGTGTATATTCTTTTTCTAAGGTAGGGGTTTGTGCAAGCATGACCTTCCCACATCTGACTTAGAAAGATACTACTAACCACATGAAGAATACTTATATCACAACTTTGACTAAAGAATTGTCTTAATAAGGATATATTCCTTACTACTTATAAAAGGGTAAGATATATGATATTTGAAATTGTCAACAATAAATTTTATATTTGAAAGTTCACAATGAATATATTTCAAGAAAAATCCTGTACATTTTATTTCCCTTTTTAAAAATAAAAGTATCATCTACATTTCTAAGATTTAATAAAATACTGAAATTATTATTGTTTTAACCACCCTCTTTTTAATGGAAACACAAAAATACATTGTTTAAAACTAGATGTTACTTTAAAATTCATGGCTATTTCATCTATATGAATCTACAGTTCTGTAAATAATTATGGAAATAGTGAACAAGATTGGCATAAAATGCAAATATTATGAGATTGCTCCCCCCTGTGCTATATGAAAATTAATAGCACCAAAGTACAGTGATGTGTGAATTGTTTACACTGTAATAATACAACTAATCAGACAGTGCCACACCAGCATTATGCCTATAAAAACACAGACAGTCATACTATTCCCAGCAGTAGTGTAAGGAGTGTATTTGTGAATACGAGAATAGCAATTTGACGTGACAAAAGTATTCACTGGTGAATGCCACTTCATGCAACAGTGAGCAAAAATTTAATGTTTCTGCATGGAAACTCTGAAAAAAAAGTATAAAATTAGTACTTTTGATAATAGAAATAGATCAAGTAAAAACCCAAAATCTTCAAAAATGATATTAAGTAACAGAGGATATGATCTTTATGTGATACACGACAATACAGTAGAGATCTTGACAATAACATAGCCGTAAATATAGGTGTGAATGTTACTTCCAGAATGCTAAGCCACACATTAGCACCAAATGGCCTCAGTGGATATGTACCTGCTCAAAAACCACTGCTCAAGAGAAAGAACCAAGCCAAAAAGCTAAAATGGGCATCATACTGCAAACAATGGAATAATCATAGCTGATGGAAGAAAGTGATCTATTCATATGAACTCAAACTGTTTAGCAACAACTGATGTTAGTTTAATTGAATAGAGAGAAGAACAGTAATGCATACAACATCTACAGTGAAGCATGCTAATGGAACCAATACAAATATGAGCTGTATCAGCCAATGGAGTTGGTGATCTACACAAAATTGATGGCACTTTGCTGCTGACACATATATACAGATTCTTATTCGTCACATCATCCTTTCAGGACAAGACCTGTTTGGTAGGGATTCATCTTCCAGTAAGACAGTGATCGCAAGCATAAAGCAAATGTGGTGAATTGATACCTGGAAGAAAAAAGATGCTGATGGAACACTCACAACCATGGCTTGCCTGTACAAACTCCCAATAAGAATGTTAAAGCTTATACAAAATCTGAGAAGGACAAACAGTAACCAAACAACTTGGTTGAATTGTGGGTAATAAAATAGTACATTTGAAACAATATTTCACAATCATACATCGATAAACTTACAATAGCATAAAAACTCTGAAGGTGTACTGCTTTATTTAAAAACAAATACAAATACTAGATCTCCATTATCTTTTTTTCGCTTCTACTTTGTGTTTTCTATAACAATGTATTGTACAATTGAAAAGTGAACAGTTAATAAAATCAAACCCTATTTGTGACAATCACAGCTGATATAAAGCCATGTTGAACAGATTCTATCAGAACAATATTTTGACATTGTTTGTTATTTCGTAGATAGCACAATGCCACTAAAAAGTGACTTTTTGATAGCCATACATAACAATCCTTTCTGATGCAAAATATTCATACATTCAAATCATAAAGATGTATTCAGACTGAAGATTTAGAATTTCCATGATGGGGGCATCCCTTATATCTAATAGTTATGGAAAACAAAGGAATATGAGGCAAAAGGATCATCCATGAAGAGACCTGGAAAAAGACATACCCCAGTTGTGATAAGCAAAATGTGACATCTTGTAACAGGAGAGAATCCACAAGGAAAACAGTCAGTTGCAAAAAATATTCATGTGCCACAGGAAAAAGTTAACAACATAACAGAGAAGCTAGAAAGAAAGTTAACAGGGTATGGGTTCACCAAGATAAGGTTTCCACTCAACTGTTGCATGCCTCAATTGTGGGAAAATAAAGAGGGTATTCATACCATTCTATATGAAGACATGCCAATTACTTTGGCAGATGCAGAGACTATGACTTTCTGTATGATTAAGCTGTTGAAATATGTACTGTAAACAGTTATATGTACACTAGGAGGATTATGGACACCATGTATGGAGTAATAGTGTGTGCGCTTTGGACATTCCGACTTTACAACAATGGAAACTAAAATGCAGGACTATTGTTAAGATGCACAGTCATCAAACAGAACATGAGATATGGTGACAAGGAACATAACAACGTGGTAAGGCACCAAAATTGTTTTAATCTGCTGTTCTCAACCCTCTATAGTGTTCTTTCCTTGCATACAAGTTTACATATAACAGTTGTAAACAGTTTTACACTCAGTCCATGAAACATCTACCAGAAGTATGCATTTAAAACCACCTAATGATACATGCTAATAATTAAAAAGGTGTTTCTCATTCACCAACTGTTATAAAAAAATTAACACCAACTAGTCTATCCATCATTATTTACATATGGCTTAACTTAACTCATCAACTGCAGGTGCTATAAATGCACGCAGAAATTTTGTAAGTCATATATGGTATATGGCACACTCACATTCAACTGCTGGAGGCAGACTGTAATCAGCAGGAAATGGGTTAATAGTCAATTTCAAAAACAATATTTAACACCTTTCCTACTCTTCCAAACCCAAAAGAAATAGTACAGTAAGAAAACATAATTTGTGTCACTAACATATTAAAATAAGACTTATTGCCACTTATAGCTAGTTTCAAGTCAAGATCTATTTACCAAATTATTTTTTAATGTCCAGAACAAATTTGTAACTTACATAAAGAGAACACAACTATCAATTGAAAGGCATATTTATCTCAGTTACATGGTAACTACAGAATTATATGGTAACAAAATGGAAAATACAAATATAGAAAATAACATATCAAAAGAATAAGCTTGAATGTTTTGTTTTATTCAAGATTTACATTTTAAATTTACATTGGATATTTAAAAAAAAGACAATATTCTTACTGGCAGAAATCTGATAGCTGAAATAAGGTGCATGAAACAGCATACGTCACAAACTTAAGCAAATGAGGTGCTTAACCCTATCAACACGGGTCAAAGGCCATGTCATTGCATTTGTTGACTTGCATTCAAAGTTTTCGAGAATGACACTTTTATGAATTTATGTATATAAATTTGGTGTCAAATTGTAGATTATAATTCACATTTTAGTATTATACATTAATTAATTTCTTAATTTAAAAGTAAATATTAAATAACACCTACATATCGATTTTTGTGTGTCAC